AAGCAGGGAGAAGCTTCTGAAACAGAGCATGGCAAACATTTTGGATGGAGCATTTTGCCTCTTTTACTCTGCCTCTACCTCCACTTCCTTGCAGGAAAAGAAAAGGCTAAAGAGGAAACCCTATACAAATACGGAACGGAGTCCCTAAGGTGGTTGGATGGCAGCATCTTGTACGCCTCTTTCCCGCAACTGCTGCAGCCAAGCTGGTGCCTAATGTATTGCTTGCTTTCCTTTGGACCACATCTGTCAGGAATGAGCCAGCTCCGAGCAAAGGTTTGCAGCCGGCTGCAAAAAGCAGCCAGGAACAGAGAGTCTGGGATTTCACTCAGAGGCGACAGCTGCAGGCTTCGCCTTCTCCTGACCTTGAACGGCAGGGTGATAAGGCTGTAGCTGAGAGCAGGCTGGAACACAGCCAAAGCTTTCAGGAAGCACACAAAGGTGTGAACGGTCTCAGAGACAGCCTCTCAGAACAAGAAGAGGGTGGAGCTGATCCACTAAGTCCAAGGAGTCGGCCAATGGGAGGGCTGCTAGACAGGAAGCAAAACAAGAGACGTAAGTTCAATATCTTCTGTCGACACCGGAAGGAGTCTTCAGAAGGGTCATCTTGAGTGATAATGCCGGTGGCTGCGTTAGAGCTCTCCGGAGCTATCTGTTTGTTTTTGCAATAAATCCTCCTTTTTCATTACCTACGCTTATTGTGTTATCAAGCTGGGAACCTGGACTCCTGACAACATCAGTATTGACATCTGGGCAGCCCAGGACCTCCAGACACACTGCCCAGACTTTGGTGCTGCTACCGCAGCTGTCTGACTTCACCCCTGGAGGTGCACTCCATTGACTCTCGAGACAGACGGAGGCCAACAATGGAGCTAGTTGCTGCTGTTGTCTTCTGCTTGAACAGGAAAGAGCCCAGCAAAGTGTTTTGGTGTTTTCTTATTCTTCTTAAGTATACAGTATTTTATATTTTGGCACAGCAGCTTGTAATGTTCTGAACACTGATTCCCTTTTTCTTGGGGGATCATTTGGAGGAACATGAATTGACCTGTGAACTGAGCATGAATCAAAAAAGTTTGTTTTTATATAACAGGCTAGGTGCAACCTGGAATTATTTTTCTAATTTATCATAAAAATATACAGTACCACAGCAGCTTAAAGGTAAAGGTAAAGGAACCCCTGACCATCAGGTACCTATTTATCTACTTGCACTTTGACGTGCTTTTGAACTGCTAGGTTGGCCGGAGCAGGGCCGGAGCAATGGGAGCTCACTTTGTTGCAGGGATTTGAACCGCTGACCTTCTGATCGGCAAGTCCTAGGCTCTGTGGTTTAACCCACAGCGCTACCTGCGTCCCTACCACAGTAGCTTTGTTGCTGTTGTTGTTTAGTCGTTTAGTCGTGTCCGACTCTTCGTGACCCCATGGACCAGAGCATGTCAGGCACCTCTGTCCTCCACTACCTCTCGCAGTTTGGTCAAACTCATCCCACAGCAGCTTACAACAATATAAAAACATAAAACCAGACAACAACAACAACAATTTTTATTGGTATCGCACCCTCCCTGGCTAACATCATATAAATAAGATGATATGCGTAACACAAGCGATCAATCAATTAAGATACATCCCACAATTAATTCAAACAATTAAAATTAAAACTAAAACTGGACAAGTGGCAATCTTCAAGTTAAAATTGGAAGACCAGCTGTTACCACTGGTCTTATAAAGGACCTGTGAGCGGGCTAGGAGGCCTCTTTAATGCTTGTTCTTATACAGAAAGAAAAGAATCAGACTGAACCCTGACCAAAGGCCTGGCGGAACAGCTCCGTCTTGCAGGCTCTCCGGAAAGATGCCAAATCTTGCAGGGCCCTGGTCTCTTGTGAGAGAGTGTTCCACCAGGCCGGGGCCACGGCCGAAAAGGCCCTGGCTCTGGTTGAGGCCAGTCTGATCTCCCTGGGGCCCGGAATCTTTAGGGTATTTTTATTTGCAGATTGTAAGGTCCTTTGTGGGACATACCAGGAGAAGCGGTCCAGTAGGTACGAGGGTCCTAGGCGGTATACAATAACAGAAAGTTTAAAACTAGTTAAAAATAGAAAGAAATTAAAAACAAACATTGATAGACCATTGTGGGGGGCTGTACTCTTAATTGCTTGCATAGGCTAGGCAGAATAGAAAAGTTTTCAGCAGGTGTTTAAAAGTTGGCACAGAAGGCACCCACTGAATCTCTAGTGGCAGGGTGTTCCGATGACACTAAAGGCTCAATTTCTCATTGTTGTCAAACAAGCCTCACCAATGTGGGGAACAACCAAAGACACTCCTGCAGATTATCTCGGTGATTGAACCGGGATGTAAGGATCCCTGCAGTATTCTGTTCAGGGCTTTGTAAAAACCAATACAATAACCTAAAACCTGGCTTGGTAGCAGACGGGCAGCCAGACAGTGCAGCTGTTTTAACAATGGTGTCACATGTTCCTGACCAGAAGCTCCCGTCAGCTATCTGGCAACAGCATTCTGTACCAGCTGGTTCTTCCAAACAAGACCCAAGGGCAGCCCCACAAAGAGGCCATTACGGTAATCTAGCCTTGAGGTGACAAATGCATGGACTTCCGTGGTCAGGCTATCCCTGCCCAAGAATGGCCATAGTTGCTAAACCAGACGAAGCTGGTAAAAGGTAAAGTTAGTAAAGGTAAAGGGACCCCTGACCATTAGGTCCAGTTGTGACCGATTCTGGGGTTGCGCGCTCATCTCGCTTTATAGGCCGAGGGAGCCGGCGTTTGTCCGCAGACAGCTTCCGGGTCATGTGGCCAGCATGACTAAGCCGCTTCTGGTGGTTTCCGAGCAGCACACGGAAATGCCATTTACCTTCCCGCTGGAGCAGTACCTATTTATCTACTTGCACTTTGACATGCTTTCGAACTGCTAGGTTGGCAGGAGCAGGGACCAAGCAACGGGAGCTCACCTCTGTTGCGGGGATTCAAACCGCTGACCTTCTGATCGGCAAGTCCTAGGCTTTGTGGTTTAACCCACAGCGCCACCCGCGTCCCTAAAGGTAAAGTTAGCTGCTCTTTAGAAAGGAACTTTCCAAGCTCAGTTTGAAGGTGTGGTGATCCACTTCCAACTGCACAAACTTGAATTTCAGGTATGTGGCTGAATCCCTCCTGCAAAATAATGACAGTCTCTAGAGGCAGCCAAAGATGTCTTCGCCTCCTCTCTCTTGTTGAGGGTTTGCGTGGCATTTCTCATCCCAACAGGGCAATTTTTCTCTCCATGTGCACCTTCCATCCAAACTGATGTTGCATCAGGTAAGTAGGAGTTACTGACAAAATAGAGGCAGTAGATCACCTCTTGCTGCAATGGCAAGACAGCTGTGAGAGACAGCATGTGCTGTCTGCAAGGTTTTGCGGGGAAGATGTAACAGTTTGATATTCTCCACCTGTCAGGGCTCCAGGCAAGTCACCCTTATCGCCTTGGGGACTGGCCACCTCCCAGGCAAAGTGCAATAACTCACATGTGGGCAGAACTCCCAGGCCTAAGGTGCTGATGCGGAATATTCCTATACCAGACTTGCTCTGTGGTTTCTGTTATGCAATCTTCTTAAAAAGTATTTGCCAACTTGATGCCCTCCAATTGCTTTGGCTGGGGCTGTAGCCCCAAACATCTGGAACGCTGCTTTAAACGGTTTCCATTTACCACCCACCACATAAAAACTTCCAGGGTGCTTCACAAGAACTAATAAATAAATAAAGACAAACCCAGCAAAAGCACTGTCAAGGGCAGCCCCACAAACAGTGGCAGCAGAAGTCAGTTCAGACTTCATGAAAGCTTACATGCCTTTCAGGTGCTGCAGGGCTTTGGGCTGGTGTTTTTAATATTTTTTCCTTTTTATCGATGTCCTGTATCAGCCATTGATTTTACCCACACCCACTTTGAGCAAGCTACAAACCTGCCTTAAATGGAAAAATTGAGGTGACCAGGGGGAAAAAACAAGTTACTTTTTACAGTATGTGGTGTGATTTTATTAAAGATACATATAAAACAACACATGGATGAGAACTACTGACAGCATTTACTGCAAAATGGAGCACATGAGCAGGCACGACTCATTGGCTCACTTCTGTTATTCTATGTTTCCCAAGTTGATTCATTGCAGAATCTATTTAATTGATTTATTTCAATCATTATGTACTGTAAAATAATATTTATCCCCCGTTTTGTGAGTCTTGCCACGTTTTATGACTTATAGAAATGACATGGATTGTTTTGTGGCTGCTTTGTTACCGATTCTGCGGGAGGAAATGAATAATAATAATAACAACAACAATAAATTTTATTATTATTTATTATTTAATTATTTATTATTAATAAAAACGATTTTAGAAAACCTGCCAAACCACTTGTCGGATGATGGCGCGCAAATGCACAACAGCTACATTGGCTCCCAGTACGTTTCCGAGCACAATTCAAAGTGTTGGTGCTGACCTTTAAAGCCCTAAACGGCCTCGGCCCAGTATACCTGAAGGAGCGTCTCCACCCCCATCATTCTGCCTGGACGCTGAGGTCCAGCGCCAAGGGCCTTCTGGCGGTTCCCTCATTGCGAGAAGCAAAGCTACAAGGAACCAGGCAGAGGGCCTTCTCGGTGGTGGCACCCGCCCTGTGGAACGCCCTCCCTTCAGATGTCAAAGCGATAAACAACTACCTGACATTCAGAAGACATCTTAAGGCAGCCCTGTTCAGAGAAGTTTTTAACGTGTGATATTTTACTGTATTTTTGGTTTTTATGGAAGCCGCCCAGAGTGGCTGGGGAGGCCCAGCCAGATGGGCGGGGTATAAATAAATAAATTATTATTATTATTATTATTATTATTATTATTATTATTATTATTATTATTATTATTATTATAGCTCATGCATAGTCGCACGCCATCAGCGCAGTCTACCAGGCTCTGGGAGCTCGGACCCGGTCCTAAGTGGGCAGGCGAGCCCCGCCCCAAGCGAGAGGCGCGCTCCGCCCTCGCCTCGCCCCTTGCGAAGGGAGACGGGGAGAAGGCGCTTCCGCGGGCGCCGCCGCGCACTCGGACCCGGAGCAGGCGGCTCGGCTTGGCGAAGGATGAAGCGGCGCGCCCAGGAGGCGCCTTCGGGGGCGCAGGGCAAGGGGATCGCCGCCTCTTCCAACCTGGGTCAGGCCGCGTCCGCAGCAAGGGCCCCCCGGCAACCTGCCGGGTAAGTCAGGAGCTGGTGCGCCTCTCCATCGCGGGATTTCTGCATCGCAGCGGGTTGGGCTGGATGGCCTTTGGGGGTCCCTTGCAAGGCTACCATGCCAGGATTCTAAGTCGCCCCGCTTTGCGCGCTCCGGGCACCTGCGCCTCTCCACCCGGCGAGGCTCTGAGCGCTCCCCGCCTCCATCCGCCATCCCTTCCGCTCGCTTCCTCGCTCTCTCGCTGCCGGTTTTCATCACGCGCTGGCGAAGAGAAAGGGGTTTGTTTTTATGTCAGGCTCAGACAAAAAAAAAAAAGGTCACATGCATTTTGAGCATCCTTTGTTTTCAAGAGAGGCTGGAATTGGGAATGGAGCGCGCGCGCGATGACCTGAAAAGGGATCTTTTGGAACGGGGAGTTTGGCGAGGCTTGGGAGAGGGAGAGCGGAAAGATGGCGGGATTCAGCACCGGCCAAAAGGAATTTGCTTGTCACATTTCTATCCCCCCCTTTCCTCGTTTAGTCCCCGTTTTGTCTTTCGAACAACCCTGCAGGGTAGGGGAGGCTGAGAATGAGCTTCAGGGCAGAGTGTTCTAGCAGGTCAGGGATGTGGGGAGCAGTTGTCTAGCAACATCTTGGAGGCGCCAGTTTAGGGGAACGTGCTTTAGGGAGTAAAGTTGCCTTGATTGCCATGGGAATTGCATCAGAGTAAGCATGCATGTGATCAAGTTCCTTAATGGCTTTCAGGATGGGTGCCAGTGATTCGAGCTTTCCAAACCAGGACATTCCAGTTCCAATTCAATGTTCCAGTTTGTTTGCTTATAATTTAGGTAAAGGTAAAGGGACCCCTGACCATTAGGTCCACTCGAGGCCGACTCTGGGGTTTTGGCGCTCAGGGACGCGGACTTATAAAAAATATTGGGGGGCCCGGGAAAGCTCATGAATAATAAATAAGCTCATGAATATGCAAATAAAGTGGCTCCGGGCCCTAAATAGGGCAAAGCCACGCCCCCCAGCCAGCCGATTGGCTGGCTGGGAGGTGTGGCCAGTCGGGATTCCCCTGTTCTCGCGGGGGCTGAAACCGCCAGGAGGAAGGAAATTCCCCCCGGCAGTGCCTTGGCAGTGGCGGTGGTGCTGCGAAGCAGCGAGGCAGGAGCCCCTGCCCCCGGCGCCCGAGATTATTGGGGGGGCTGAGCCCCCCCAAAAAATTTTTTGAGGGGGCTCGAGCCCCCTCAAGCCCCATGGAGTCGGCGCCTATGTTGGCGCTCATCTCGCTTTACTGGCCGAAGGAGCCGGCGTACAGCTTCCGGGTCATGTGGCCAGCATGACAAAGCCACTTCTGGCGAACCAGAGCAGCGCACGGAAACGCCGTTTACCTTCCCGCCGGAGCGGTACCTATTTATCTACTTGCACTTTGATGTGCTTTCAAACTGCTAGGTTGGCAGGAGCAGGGGCCGAGCAACGGGAGCTCATCCCGTTGCGGGGATTCGAACGCCAACCTTGTGGTTGGCAAGTCTTAGGCTCTGTGGTTTAACCCACAGCGCCACCCGCGTCCCATGATTTACTTATTGCATAATAATAATACAGTAATATATATAGTCCACCCTTTTCTCCAATGAGTACATCATTCTCCCCTTCCTTCATTAACCCCCACAACAACCCTGTGAGGTTGTCAGGCTGAGTGTGATCAACTGAGTGTGAGCCCACTGAGCTTCATGGCCGAGGGGGGCGGGATTTGAACCCTGGACTCTCCCAGGTTCTAGACTGGCGCTCTAACCACTGCACCACCCTCCGTTCCCTGTTGAATGAGCGGCCTGTTTTTGGAGACATCCCTGCCTTCTGTGGGACTCGAGTGAGTTCCATAATTTAACTGTGCTGAGTGAAGGACAACATTATGTTATCTCTCCTCAATCTTCCAGGGCTCAGTTTTGTTTGATGCCCGTGAGTTGCTGGTGTTACGAAAAGCTGTGCTTTTGTCACAGTTCATTCTCCTCCACTGCAAACCTTGGCCCAGCAAGCATTTAATGCTAAGGTGGTGTTTGGGAAACTTATTTGCACCCCAGATTTAACCAGAGCTGTCATTTAAATCCCTAGTGTGGCGGCGCAGTGGGTGTGAACTGTTGCACATTAGGAAATCTGCAGTGCTGTTTCTGGAGCCAGCCAGTTAGCCGTGGGCGAGTGAGACGAAGGCCGCTGGTACCCATCCTGTACCTGCCCATCCCACTGATGGGATCCTGTCCAAGCCTGGAAGTGCAATGCTCCTTGCTTAAGCGCCGTGGCTCTTGCAAAAGCTCAGAGGCCAAAAAATGGGGGTGAGACAGACCTTTGGGCTTCAGGGTCTTTGGTCTGGGGTCTTTGCCCCACGCTCTCCCTCCCGGACCCTCTTAACTGAGGCCATGTCTCTGGAGGTAGGCAGAGGCCAAAATCCTCTGGTCTGCCATCTGCAAGAGCTGCCAGGAGTGCTATTTCAAGATGAGACCTTCTGCCCATTAAAAACACGCCCACACATCAAAACCCCTTTTTGGCTTTGCTTCCAAACTGTCTAGACATCTTGCAAAAGCCCATTGCTTGCAAGATCCCAGCAACCCATCCTCTTTATTGGCTCCACCAGTGTGGGGCAGTGGTCAGAGTGTCTGACTAGGGCCCAGAAGACCCAGGTTCGAATCTCCACTCGCCCATGAAGCTCTCCCTGGGTGACCCTGGGCGAGTCCCTGCCTTCTCTCTGCCTGACTTACCTCACAGGGCTGTTGTGGGGATTAAGTGGGGGGGGGGCATGTGTGCCACCTTGAGCTCCTTGGAGGAAAAAAAGGTGGGATATAAATGCAATAGATTAACAGCAACAACTATTTAAAATTAGCACATGCCTGTATGGAAGTGAGAGCTGGACCATCAAGAAGGCTGATGGCCAAAGAATGGATGCTTTTGAATTCTGGTGCTGGAGGAGACTCTGGAGAGTCCCCTGGACTGCAAGAAGATCAAACCTCTCCATTCTGAAGGAAATCAGCCCTGAGTGCTCACTGGAAGGACAGATCCTGAAGCTGAGGCTCCAAGACTTTGGCCACCTCATGAGAAGAGAAGACTCCCTGGAAAAGACTCTGATGTTGGGAAAGATGGAAGGCACAAGGAGAAGGGGACGACAGAGGACAAGATGGTTGGACAGTGTTCTCGAAGCTACCAGCATGAGTTTGACCAAACTGCGGGAGGCAGTGGAAGACAGGAGGGCCTGGCGTGCTCTGGTCCAGGGGGTCACGAAGAGGCGGACACGACTAAATGACTAAACAACTGCAATGGTACCTCGCAATGCCCCCTCCTTCTTCCTCTCCCCCCCCCCCCGTTACTCTGGGACTAGGGAATTGAGGGCAATCGTGCCAAGGGCTGGTTTTCAAGGTTAGCTGAGTGCCTCTGAGAATGTGCAGAGTGCATTTATGTTCTTCCATGCCCTCCTGCCTCGCTCCCATTTCTGTCTTCTCCATCTGGCATAGAGGCCTTCTGTTAATATCGGGATATTTTTTGTGGGGGGGGGGCAAGTCAGTAGCATGGGCAGGGCACTCTGCACATGCTCTGGGCATCCTCCCCTCCATGTGTGTGTATTTATGTAAAAAATCCTGCCCTCACAGAGTTTAGAATCATAGAATCATAGAATCATAGAATCATAGAGTTGGAAGAGACCACAAGGGCCATCGAGTCCAACCCCCTGCCAAGCAGGAAACACCATCAGAGCACTCCTGACATATGGTTGTCAAGCCTCTGCTTAAAGACCTCCAAAGAAGGAGACTCCACCACACTCCTTGGCAGCAAATTCCACTGTCAAACAGCTCTTACTGTTTGCTATGGTGGCAGAGGGGAAGGAGAACAAAAGGAGGCAACAGAGTCTTGTTCACTTTGACCCGTAAGCTTCATTCCAGCAGATCACTTCCTGGTGCAACTGGACTTCTCCGCGACCCATCCCCTCTGCAGGGAGGTGGGGCCGATTCGGATGGTCCGCCCCCGCCACTTAATGGATCCAAATGGTTTCCAGAGAGTGGTAGGGGATGCTCTATCCCATGTTGATGGCCTTTCAGCTGATTCCCTGGTGGCCCGCTGGAATGTGGAGTTAACCAGGGCTATTGACTGTTTGGCTCCGAAGCGCCCTCTCCGATTGCATGGAGCCCGGACAGCCCCGTGGTTTTCCATGGATCTGAGGGCAATGAAACAATCGTTGAGACGGCTAGAGCGCCAGTGGCGGATAACTCATTCCGAATCTGACCGGACACAGGTTAGAGCTCAACGTCGAGCCTACCAAGTGGCGATAGCGACGGCGAAGAAGACATTCTTCGCCGCCTCTAATGCATCTGCAGAAAACAGCAGCAGGAGACTTTTTCAGGTGGTTCACAATTTAGCGGAACCACCTGCAACATCGGGGCCCAGTACGGGCCACATGTTCTCCTGCAATGATTTTGCAAAGTTTTTTGCAGATAAAATCTCTCAGATTCGGGAAGAAGTAGACTCCACCTTGGGAGCAGGGCCAGGGCGGGAGAGTGCTAGAGTCCTGTCTAGTCAAGTTGTGTGGGATCAATTCCAATCTGTTACCTCCGAGGATGTGGACAGGCTGCTTGGACGAGTGAAACCAACCACCTGTCTCCTTGATCCTTGCCCATCCTGGCTTATAAAAGCTAGCCGGGAAGGGCTGGGCGATGGGCTTCGTGGGGTGGTGAATGCTTCCCTCCGTGAGGGAGCCTTCCCAGACCCGCTGAAAGAGGCGGTTATTAAACCGCTTCTTAAAAAACCATCTTTAGATGCGGCCACAATGGCCAATTATCGCCCAGTCTCAAATCTTCCATTCTTGGGCAAGGTGATTGAGCGAGTGGTTGCTGAACAACTCCAGGCACTCCTGGAAGAAGCGGACCATTTGGATCCCTTCCAGTCGGGATTCAGGCCTCATCATGGGACTGAAACTGCCTTGGTCGCACTGGTTGATGATCTCCGGCGGGCTAGGGACAAAGGTGAGAGCTGTTTCCTAGTTCTGCTGGATCTCTCAGCAGCTTTTG